GAAGTCAATGAGCTGAAGAGTTTGGGGACTTCTGGTCTACTTCTACCAGAAATTCTAAATCTCTAAAACTCAATTCCACTGAACAATCAGGCTATCTCATCTGGCCTTGTTGATCTGTTCTTAACATTACATGCCTAGAGCACAGACAGTAATTTACTTAGTAGTGGTAGAAATGCATTTTGCACATGCTCAAAGACATCTTTAATTTATTATTTCATATAATACATTTTGTATTGTCTGCAGGACTGCAGGAATTACACCAACATTTTGCTAACAGGATTTTAATGGTTACAATGCCATTTCTCATCTCTGGCAGCAGATGGAGCAATAATTCTTGAATTTGGGATAATATTTGGAAATGCAAATAAGATGGTGGGGTGGCAACAATGAATGAAAAGTAATTTTTTCACTTTTCAGTTGAAGTCAGAGAAATTTAAACAACATTCACCTTGTGTGACAATTTTATTTAGAAATTATCTGGCAGTAATTTTATGATGTTTTTGAGTAGTAGTAATAATTAGAACAGTTTAAAAAAAAGAGTTGATTAAATAAACAGGATTCCTGTTAGGAGCAAATAAAGCCTCTTTCCTCCCCCTCAGCGCTCCAGGCAATTCTAAGCCAGCAGGAAAATGGAATTGTTCCATAAAGATCTCCTGAACAATTGCAGCTTCTGTCATCAGAGGAGACAGAATGTGGGGTGCACTGATTGGGCAGGTATTATGGGGTGAAGGAAACATTTTAAATATTTAAGTTCCTTTTCCTAGATTCAACGTTTTCAGCATTGTCTCACTATTGTTTAAAAAGTTTTGGCATTGCCTCACTAGATTTTAAAAAGTTTAAATATAACTTTTGAGAGAGAAACGCTAACATTTCAGTTCATCCAGAAGGACAGCGACTGATACCTAGCACCTACCTCTGAGGCCTGTTTAGCAAGACCAATCCATATCAGGCTGGTGTTATTAGTCTCACTGATTGGAGATGAGAGATAACTGCTACCCGATAGGGCTTCCTCCAAGATCCTGATTTCCATCTAAGACCCTAATTTCCAACCTGCATAGCACTCCTGACCCTCTATTTCAAATAGTGTTCTTTTAGCTGACATCAAGGTGTATAATAACAAGAACAACCAATGTTTTTTAACATCTGAGGAAGAGAATTGTATAAACACCTCTGTGCCTTCCTGGCATCATCATCATCATTTTCATCATCATCATCATCATCATCATCATCATCATCATTTATTAATGCCTAATGCCTAATGCCTAATGC